TGTGAAAGTTATGGAGCCTGCAGGTATGAGAGTATTCCTGCTGACAATAGAAATGCTAATAAAAACTTAGTCATTATGGTAGATTTGAAATTTTCATTCCTCAGTTTGTCACATTTACATGGAATCTTTTGCACAGAATTGGCTTTGTATAGGGGGTTAAGCACCATACATGTAAAAGTCTTAGCTTATTCCCTTGACATCTTGCCTTATGAAGGATTTGCTACTTCAGATGGTCTTTTTTTTTATTCTGGTAGCAGTGGTTTGCTGTGTGATGCGATGCAGCTGTCAACAGCTTTAATGTCAGAAAGTGTTCGGCCTATCAGTTTTCGGTGTTTACAGACACCTTTACTGACACCTTACATTGTTGAAACACAAACAAATCAACTGAGTAAACCTGCAGTCCTAGAAAAACTGTGGTTTTTTCACCAGTAGGAGTGTATTTGCCTTTTCTTGCAATTACATTCATGTCTTGACACGTTTAAGTAAACCGTTTTACAGACCAGCCTTTTGTGTGTGGAGCTTCTTTGCCCTCGAACCAGCCTGAGGTTACAGAGGCCATACCCTGCCAGGAGCAGTTAATACAAAATTAAAACCCGAGCATTAGCACGCTCTAGAAAACAAGAGACGGTATCATTACAGTGCTGCAACAGAATACCACAAATCAAAATAAAAGTTGGATGGATTCCAGACATAACAATTAAAGCATAATTGTATTTAGTTTGGTTACAGTTCTTAAAGCAAAGTTCATTTTGACTATCTGAAGAATATCTTTTATTCTGTCAGTTTTTCTGTCTGGCTTTCCTCTTCTGTAATTGTCATCTAATTGTCATTACGATCGTATTGTAATGATTTTGTGTTTACTGGTAAGACAATCATTCATATTTCGACTGTAGGAACACCAGTTCCCTTAGTTAGATTGTGAAAGATCTAAAGTATATCCAAAGACCTTTTGTTTTGCTAAAGCTTTTAATGAATCGTTCAGTTTTACTCTTGGTTTTACGAAACCACTTTCAGAGTTTCTCAAAGTATGAAGAACTCTCCCTCTGCCTTTTGCAAAACTTACATTACTCTGAACATATCTAAGGTTTGGCCTCTTGTCCACCGTAAGCCAGTAGTTCCTCAAATTTCAGTGCTCTCAGAAATCCTCCACTAGTCTTAAAAATTGCTTAAGTGCATTTTCCCCCAATTCCTTTAAATATGTCAAGTAGAGGAGTTTGAACACTTTTATAAATGGTAAGAAAAAAACACTACCACCCTTGTATGCAGGCAGAATCTCTTATTTTGACATATGACTGGCAGAAGGATAGTGGGTATGAAAATTCAAGTCACTATTCGCGTTTTGTGATTTGCAGCCTCCTGCTTTTAAAGTAGTGCACGGAGAGCTGCTGTCAATATTTCGTCTTGTAGACTTAATTTGAGTAATTTTGCATAGAGCCTGACGTACAGTTGGAATCTTATTTCCATTCTTGCAAACACTTGGAGAACTTTTCAAAATGATTCAGTTTTCAAAAATCTTTGCTTATCATGGCAGCAATGATATTGCATAATCAAGGTGTAATGGCTGTGGCAACCTTTTGATAATTTACTTGAACATAAGGGTATGTAACCTATTCTCAACACATTGTCTCTTTCATTGTTTCTTGTTGATTTTGAATTGAATGGCTGGCACACAATGTACATCTCAGTGTATATATATTGGAAAGGTTTTTAACTGCCTGTTTTGTTTTTTTTAAATTTCATTTACAGGGTCAGTAAATAATAGATACAAAGAGGCCTGTTGCTACCATCCGTCATGACAAACTATATGTAATTTATGGTGGATTCTTAATCAAATGAGACCTTACGGGCTTTTTTCTTTTTCCCAGATGTACAACAGGGACCCTCCAGTGGTTTAAAAAAAATGAAATCAATAATATGAAGGAGGGCTGGTCTCTCACCAGTAATTGAGTGACGGAGATTTGCTTGTCAATAAAGTGTGGGGTGTAAGAGAGGATCTTTTTCCACTGTGATCAATGAGATGGAGTAGAGATTAGATCCCTGGATTAGTTTCTGTGGAAAGGGGGAAGATGATCTGGGGGAGGGAGGGGCTGCGTCCTGAAGCTGAATGAGAAACGTAACAAGTACACGTGTGCAGTGAGGGAACTGACCGGGCGGCTTCACCGACCCATCTCCCGCAGGGCCTATTCAGACAATTAAAAACCAAAGAGCCCCCCCCCTCCACCCCACCCCCGCCTTTAAAAAATCGAACTAGGGCTTTGATTCGCTTCCAAACTCGGTCAGGTCACTTTTCAGGTTGTGTCTTTGGAAGAGAAAGAAGCGCAGTCAAGAAACGCCAAAGCGAACGCAAGACCGAGCTGTGCTTCGTGACCATTTCCAGTGATCTGCTTTGGGAGGCTGCCATATCGCTTTTCCAGCAGTTGTGATCGGCAGTTTCCCTCCTGAGGAGTTTCATCTGTGGGCCTTCCCTTCAGTGCTAGCGGCGATGGGTGCTTTTGTATGCTGCTGGGCCAAATGAACAGCCCGAGGTGACTACAGTAGCAGCCTGTGTTTATTTACAAACTAGGCTTGTTATCCTCTGCTTTGGCTGCAAAGGATTAGTGTTATCACTGTTGACACCAGATTTATTATTTTTGTCAAAGGTTGAATTATCTGGGAGTCTAGCAAGAAAAAAAAATTATGGAAGGCCATGTTAACTTGCAATGCGCTTTTCTGATTTTTAAATAACAGGTCTGATTTGGCACTCTTAAGAGATTTGGAATTATGCCTAGACTTTAAATACAGCTGTTGCAGTCAAGTAAATTATTTCTTAAAAGATTGAAACTAATTCATTTGTGTATATGCAGTATTTTGAAGATTATTGATTGGTGAATATTCTTGTGTAGATGTATTTTTTTATTTATTCATTCACTGAAGGCAGAATTACATTTTGAAATTTAAAATAAAAATAGTTTCAGGTTGGCTCTAGTTAATACTTTAAATGTACAGATGAGTCTTAGCTTTGGTTTCTGTTGATCGTTTTGTGTTTATCATTTGAAAAATGTTAAACATCTGTTTTTCATCTCTGTGTGGAATAATCACCCAAATTTTGCATTCAACAAGTTATTCAAGACTTATTATGGATCACCGAGTAACCTACTAAGTAGTTAGCAAGCTGCATACTATTTTCAGCTGTTACTTCTAAAAACCTTTAGCTGGTTGCATTTTGAATTGTTCTTTCAAATCCTCCACTAAATATATATATTTCATTGTCTGTTGGACTGTTGGTCTTTTCACCCTTAAGTATAATAATCATCAGAAACTCAGGGCTTTATCATCACCACTTTGCTCAGAGAATTCAGCTGCGCACACGTGCTCAGAAGACTAATTTTCCTGCACACAAATGCTGACTTCGTCTGCCAGGTTGAATGCTGACATTTTTGGGTTTTCTGGTGGGTTGAGTGGTCAGAAGTTCAGAGGTTGAATATGGTTTCTCAGTCTTTTTACAACTGAAATGTTTGCCAGCAGTCTGGTGTGGGGTTTTGAGCCATCAGATGAATAATGGCGAAAGTCATTGGCTCGATGTGTTGGGAAATTGTCCTCTGCCGTGTTTTTTTTTTTTTAAGCCGCCTTGTTATGTCAGAGCACTCCTCCCAGCTTGGTGCTGTGCGCTCTGTTCCGACCTCACGCTGGCTGAGATATGATTGTCATCAGCGAGCAACAGCGGTTGTGTGTGGAAGGGGGTGGGGGCTGAGGACGGTCCTTGTAACCACTAATGAGGGCCTTCTGTTTCCCAGCACGGGAGATGTCCTAGGGGGAAGACACCTGTAATTATGGCCACCTTTTGGCAGAATTAAAGTGCGTCTTAAACCTCTACCCTTTGAAGGCATTTTTTATTACCCCCATCTAAGGCCACAGCTTCTAGATTAGAGCCCTTTATTAAAGGAGTATTTACTTTCACTGAACTAAGTAGTAAAAATTGTAAAGGTAATGAGTCTGCCTTTTTATTCACTGACTCCGTCTTCCTTCATGTAGATAACCCTATATTAATATCCATCCATTATCTGAAAGTCGATTATTCTTCATATTGACCTAAAATCTATCCTAGAAACACAGGGCACAAGGCAGGACTACACCCTGGATGAGATGCAAGGAATATGCACGCTAGCACTCATATTGTTGAATTTGGAAGACGTTTTTGGAAATGTTCTCTTTCATCACCAAGTGTTCAGGCTTTTGTATGTGTGTGTTAGTGGTTTGTCTCAGGCTTAGATTAAGCCAAACCATTTAACCAACCCATGAATTATGAGTTCCAAACCCAATTGGAATAGATACAGGCAGCTTCTGGTGAAAAATTTTATGTTGGTGGGTGGTTTGAAGTTTTAATTTATTTGGTGCCCAAGTCTACCGCTTTGAACTTTTTTTAAGGCTAGGCGCCTATGCGTTACAAATAACATTGCGACCATCTTGAATATGGAGACCTCTCCTCCATGTGCATACTCCCTAGTGCTATAAATAAGCATACCTTAATTTGCCCTGAGCAAACTTGAAGTAAGCCTGTTTTTATGCATCAGCGATGTTTTTGACAGGACTTTAACTTGTGCTGAATAACTGTACTCCCCGTTACACATTCATATTGAATTTCACCCGTCTCTCAAAGGCCCAAAATGTGCATTTGGGGGACAGTATCTAGATGTTTACAAAGCCTGAATTGCCTTTTTTGTGATTGATTAGCCAATATTGCAGTAATATGTGTAATCCTAATGAATTAGCAGGTCCCCCCGCAATTAATTAGTGCTGTCTTAAATTTCAGTAGAAAAATGTAATGCTAATCCAAATGCCAGTTATCTCCCTGTTACATATGTACATGTGCAAAGAGTTGTGGACTGTTATGTGTACATATATGCATATCAGAGATACATAAATTAATGCCTTTTCTTGGCAGTACCGTGCTGTGAATTTTGTTAATGATATGCAAATCCTTTGCACATAATTTATGCACCGTTTTTTTTCTTTATTCACAGCCTTTACAGATTGATGACAATTTCTGTGGGCAGGATTTTAATCAGCCACTGGGTGGGACTAGCACCATTGAAGGAATACCTTTGTTCGTTGACAAAGACGATGGAATGACTTCTGTGGCGGCCTATGACTACAGAGGGAACACAGTGGCGTTTGCAGGAACGCGGAGTGGCAAAATGAAGAAGGTAGGAACGGTTTGCGTGACCTTGTCTTTTGTTTTACTACAGTTGGAATTCTGGCTTCGGCCTGTGACTAACCTGGCATTCGAGACTTATGCCAAGTCTGGGGCAAGTCAGCAGCAGTTATTACAAGCATTTAATTGCTGCAGCCTGAAAAGCAAGTTCCTGGAACCTCAGTAATGTGTTTTCTGCCTCTACGTATTGACCACGTGTGACAGTTTCGTTTCATTGAGACATTCATTATTGCTTTGTCTCTGCAATATAATTAAATAGCACCCTCTTAATGTAACAATTTAATTAATGCTCAGACATATCTTTGCTAATTCTGCCAGAGAGCCCAGTGCTGCTGTGAGTAAAAGCCAAAACACAAAGTCCTTATCACCTTGTCTGCACTGCCATTTTGCAAAAATTGTGTTTTCACCTCTACAAAAAATAATTAATTTTTTTTACCCGTTTTAAGCTCTTACAATTAAGAAATGGTGCTGCCCAAGCTTTATCATTACTACGTATTTCTACTAGGGTCACCTGCAAAGCAATGCTCTCAATTTTTTGGGGGGTGATTGTGATTGAAAGCAAGTACACAGTAATATGAACATTTGTGTGAAATGGTATGTAAGCTTTTGTTCTTCCTTAGTTTAATTTGGGGTCCACAACTTTGTGCCAACATAGGAACAGTGCCATTATAGTATTGAAAAAGAAAGCTTAATCTTTTATATACAGCTAACAACAAACTACCATCTTCACATCGTCTGATTGCAAATGGTGCCCCTGTAGCGAGTCCTTCAGTGGGTCACCCAAATGAAAGTCAGAGGGACCAGACTAGAGGTCTCTAGACAAAAACCATATCTCTGCATTAAATCTCATCATGACATACTGGCACTTCTATCCTGAGGGTAGAGGCTTGAAACTTTTCCTGCAGTTTTTGAAAACATTTCTGAGAAACAGTACACACAATTATTGCTAGCAAAACGCTTATTTCAGTTGTAGCAAAACATTTCTCCTAAATGCATTAAGACCATTATGGCTGAGGTGAACATTGTAATTTAGTGTGAATATATGATCTATCTCATGCTTGCCTGCACTTGAAGAGTGAAGGTTATTTGTTGCTTATAATCAGGCCTCGCCTATTTTCTCAGATCAGTTCCTGTGATATCGGCACCCTGAAAAGTTGAATTGCCTCTACAAAGTTAGAATCCCGTTAGAACACAGATGATTAAATGAGAGGAGGCTAATTTGTATCATGTAGTTTAGGTATCATGTTTCACAACATGGCTGGATTGGATTGTCCGTATTTCCTCAACCCTTTGTGTAAAGAAATACCTCCTTTTCTAGGTTGTAAATGTGTCTTCCAATAGTATCAACAAGTGTCCATTAATTCTGATGAAGTCCATATGATTGACTTGCATTGAGCCCACTCGTAATGTTATCTGTCCAAAACAAAAAAAAAAGATTGTTTTTAGCCTGTCAGATTCTTAAAGTCCTGGGATGTATGTGGGTTCTCTTCTCTGGACCAATTCCAAGTGTAGTAATATCTTTTTTATAACATGATGCAGTTGTCTGGTTGGTAATCATGAAAGCTTTATACAGTAGACCAAATCATATTTAACTGTTTTAATTTTATGCACACTAATCTGACAAGGTATGTTACATATTGTTTCTTTAAATCTTAACTGTTGGAGATCTAGTGATTATGAATGTATCAAAAGTTAAGTCTCTGAATAAAAGTCGCTTACTTGCTGTATTGATTTGTAATTAGCTACTTTAGAGCAAAGGGATCTTGAGGAAAGCATGCTCTGCCTTTGACTCTTGCAGATTTTTCTATTTACTGTAGCTATTTGGTATCTTAAATGCTGGATTAATAGATTTCATAGGGCCTGCTAAACACAAAAAGGTGTAAATTGCAGCTTTAAAGAGCTCCTTAATGGGTTTGTGACTTCTGGTGACAGGACACCTGTGATGTGTGTAATCGGCTGAGAATACAGTCTAGGCCTGATGGCTAAAATGAGATTATTGGATTGGCTAATTAAAAAAAATTTCAGCCAGGTCGTGGGGGGCTATGATACAGAGCTTCACCTTTGTAAGTTAAAATCAGTGTGCTTGGTATTCTGATTCCTGTGGCGGGAATAAGGTGATACTGGGAGCCAGAGCACCTACAGTATTTATGTCACCAATATTTGATTCTCCTCATGTATTTATATCACTGCTTTTGTTAAGGGAACTTGTATCTTCTCTTCATCTCTCGTATAAATTAGACTGTTATATGCTTTCGTCTTAAATTTCAATTATAGGTGTGTGATTTTTGCAAAACTAGCATACTTGAAAGCTTCTTGTGGGTTTGTGTATAAGGCTTTTTGGATCATAAAACATGGAATTGATCAGGTTTATGTGTAGTAGGGGTTTTCTCAGCGTCCCTCTTGCTGGATGGCCTATGATCATTCTATGTTTTGGTGACAGGCATGGGCTTGAAAGGTATCCTTGATCATTCTGCAGGGTTTTGGAAGAACTGTAGTTCAGACTGTTGCAGGAAGAGGCTTCTGATTTTTTTACTTGAAATTTACTTGAATTTTTCACTTGAATCTCACACCTTTCTGTGCATCTGATATCCACATTGGTGTTAAAGGCACGATTCATAAATTGTAGCTGCTCTGTTGCAGGATGTACATGACTGCATATCCAAGTATGGCAGAGGGAACACCGTGCAAGGGTGAATGACATTCACTGTCTTGACTTCACTGCTTCACTGTTAAGCTTGCACATTACATCTCAAGGTGACTTTTTCATAGTGACCAACGCCACAACTGACTTAGTCAGTGCAGTTGGATTGGAGAAGATCATTTGTGTGGTGTTGTGTTTTAATGGGTTCCATTGCAGCATCACAAGTACATATTTCCACACTCCCCCTCCCCCGCCTCCTTTCGATGTGAAACCTAGTCGGTTAGACCTTGAAGCACAACCTGACCTGGGCTTTTAGTATTGTGCTAACGCTGCAGGGAAGAGAGATAAGAAATCAATAACTGATTTGAAGTGACACACGATGATTGGCATCACATTTCATTGAGCGTTTAGCTTTTTTTTTGCTTTCAAACAGCGGGTAGTTTGAAACCGTAAGGTTTTCATGAGGGGGAAGCGGGTGGGGAAAAAAAGACCTTATATCTGCACCCACATCACTGTCATTCCTGCAAGTTCATTTTTGTTCTTTAACCCAAGATAGTATACGGTGCTTTGCATGTCCATTTCAAGTGCATCTTTGCAACATTTTGCATTTGCATTTTGCATTGTAGGAACTAGTGTACTGTATTTAGGAATAGAAATGTATTTCATTGCATGGCAGTTGTGATCTCTATGGTTTAATGTCATATACACATTGTGTTTATACAGTAGAAAAGCAAATATATAGCTCTGCTTGTTTTTTAGTTCTGCCTATGCAGTTTTTCTTGTACTAAGATCACAAGCCTGAAATGCCTAGAGTCTGGAGCTGGGTTATATAGAAGAATGTGTAATTCATAAAATGTGAAGGTTATGCTAACTTTGCAAAAGAAGTCTTCATCCATGGAATTAATAGAAAATATTTAGCTTGATTCTTTAACCCATTTTAAGAGCCTGAAATTTGTTATTAAAACTGAATGTTCTATCACTGCTGAATACTTGGGTGGAAGTGTTGGGCTATGTATTACCTTGGTAATTAATACCACTGTTTTATTGGATTTTGTTTAACACTAAGCTCCATTCAGTATCATAATGAAATGTTAAGCTCTAGTCTATTGATGTTGAGCTTTCAGAGGAGATTGTAGCTCATTGTAATTCTTTAAGTCCACTGCAGGGCAAAATGCTTTTATTGATTTATCTTTATGAATATATAATCAAGGTGTAAATCCTGTCTAATGTATAGCTTGGCAAATGAAATACTCTACGATATTGAAGTAGATGCACTGTAGTACTTCCCTGTGGTTCATACACTGTCACTTTTTCTCCATCTTACTGCATCACTATTAAACCTTTTGTGAAATTTACTGTGTGGTGAACGTGTGTAAATTTAGGTTTTCCTTCTTGTACTGAATAAGAATATTTTGAATGTGAAAGATCAAGTAAAATCTAGGAGGCTGATGAAGGTATATATACCGAGAGGATTAAAAACACGAGTGTTAGAAATAATTAGCATTTTTAATGCCTCTTAGTATATTCATAGGGTGAATTGCACCATTTTCTGAATGCAGTTTTTTTTTCCTCATTTGGAAGATGCAGCATGCCTTAGAAAAGTGTTTTTTTTCTCCCCATCTGTCATAAAGCACGTATAAAACGGAAATATCTCTTGAACATTTTACTAAAAGGAAGCCGTCTGTCAGGTGCTTCCTTGATTTCCAGGGTGAGTGGAGAAATCTCAGAAAACGTCCCCAGAGATAATAAATTGTGCTGTTTTTTGGGGGGAATCTACTGGAATTTCTTTTTTTTACAAAGAGAGCAGTATGCTGCTGAGCCTTTCTGATTCAGTGCGGAAAAGGGGTCACGTTCCAAACCCCTACTTAACCCATGCTAAATCTATCCTGTCCTCTGCCTCCTTGAGGGGAACGTTTCGACATTGTGCTCCTCCTGAAGTGCACCAGTTGCTTCAGCTATCTCCCTGGCTCTTGTATTTCTCTGCAGGTAAAGGACAAAGCGGTCTAGTTTGAGATCGAATAGTTTTGCGGGAGCTGCGCTACCAGGAGAACTGCTAATAAGCAGTCCTTATTTCCCTTCAGCATGTCCGTGATATTTGTGTTCCCACTAAAATGAAAGGAGATTATTGAAAAGTGGCATTAACAGCCATTGCCCTCTGTTGTGGATGCTAATGTAAGCTATTCTGAAGCCATTAATATAATATTTATGAGCCAAGGTAATTATTATTTGGTAGCAATAATAGTAACACCAGTAATAACAGCAACAATAATGCACTAAACAAATCTAAATTATCTTGTCTAGACATCTCAGAGCGCCTTGCAATACAGCATACAGTTCCACCCTCTAGAAGT